GAAAGGAAGAGAAGGAACCATAGTCCAATTGAACTGGATCCCAGGACATACGGGCATCTATGGTAACGAACTAGCTGACAGAACAGCCAACAAGGGAAGGACAAAATGTAATCATTACACCAACATTGACTTCACACTTAGTACTTCATACTCAGCAATGCGACGCAGAATGCGTGAACATTATACAGCTCCACTGAAAATCGAAGCTTCGAAATTGTCAGTCATCAAGTCCAATACCTCAAAAACATCAGCCGGAAAGCTGACAGCTGCGAAAACTGCTAAGATCCTCAATGAACTACCCAGAGCGACACGGTGCCTAGCAACCCAGCTACGTACAGGTCACTTCCCTACGACTAAGTCATACCGATACCGATTCAAGCTAATCGACTCACCGAAATGCAGGACGTGCGGCATAGATGATAGCATCTCGCATAGAATATTTATATGTAGAAGACACATAATGGCAAGAATCACCTTGCGAAGAAAGATAACCAAGATCAACATTCGGTTCGAATTAGGTCCAATGCTCAGGAACGCACAAGCTCTTCAAGTCCTTTACGAGTTTTTCAAACCACAATTGACTACGTACCCAAGATACTCCGGTGGTTCGGCGTAATCGAGAAAATTCCCGGACACGCAAATCATCAAGACATTTTACGACACTAGTCAAGAAACGCTTTTCACCAATTCAATACACCATTCAAATCCTCATGCTTTAAGAATTATTGATGGACGCAGTTTAACTTTGTATCGTCTTAACAATATATTTAGATTTCATCATCATCATCATCATTGTTGGGTTGTGAATATCAAACGCGCTTTATTATTGGTGTTGGTTCGTAAATATAAATCATGCTTATTATAGGTTGTGAAAAATATTTTACGTTATATATGTATATATGTTATGTTATTATTATTGTTTTTTTCCTTTTTTTCTCGATCCTACTAATGCACAGGTATTTATATATAACAACCATTAATATCCCCAAACATTAAAATTGATACGGATAGCCATAATCCCAACAAGGGTCTATACCGCTATACACAGAATCAACATCATTAGCTAAATCTGAGTTATCTGATACAAACAATTTAGCCGTTGACACCTTTGAAGGGCCATCATAAATGCCTAAGCATACCGTTGAACTTATATAGTCATAAGGGTAGTAGGGGTAGTTCGGATCGCCCCTCATAAATGCTGCAGCTATTTCTGAAGATAACTGTCCCTTGGCGTCTGGATTATACACAAATTGGTCCATATTACCTCTATCCCAAGTGACGTAGTACATATCCATATAATATGGGACACTATCCCGAGTCCGTGCACTGCTATTAAGATGTGAAGCAGCAGTGACCGGCCTTACGTAAGGTACTCCCTTATTATTTTCTCCATATAGTAAGAGATAACGATCGCCATTAAAAGAGTAATCCATGATAATATCTCCTGGCTTAAGGTCCAAATCAAATAAAGTAAGGTCCTCTTCTTCTCTCCTTTTACCTTGGCTAGGAGGTGAGTAGGTTGAATGGATAACCATTTCGCTAGTTTGGCCACTACTCCCTAACAATAAGACAGGTGGGTTGTCACGTGTAGTTACAAACCCTCCTCCTATTTTGTAGATCCCGTAAACACCAAATATAACTCCTGCTACATTTGCTGTTATACAGCCTTCCAAACTGTTACGGGTGCCATCTTGCTCTTTAGCACAAAACCCTTCTGCCCTCTGATTAGCTAAAGTTGCCATAAATAAAGATGCCATGCCAGCTCCCATCCCAGGTGACACACCATTCTGGAGTCCTGGTATAGGCCATGTTATACCTGTTTCAGCATCACCCTGGCGTGTCTGATGTTCTTCAGAACTGGCATAGACATATGAGGACCACGGAAGAATAACTAGCAAGAGAGAGGGCAACACAGCTCCAGCTAAGATCTTAGGGAATGTGGGAAATAACATCCTTTTCTTGTTGTTTAAAAGTTTTTTTTTCTATCGTTTGTGTACAAGATGGTCCTCTTATATAGTCTTCACTGTCCGCATGTTCCTTATTGCCCTCTTAATGATTCCGCATTCGGCGTTCCTATTATTTATTACCTTGGTACCTAGCAACTAAATGGCACCCTATGTTCTTCCTTGTTTATATATTCTGACATTATGACAGCATGTTTGACAATATCTATGAGAATATGGATCCAGAGACTGGATGTACAGTGTCATTTAGTTGCTAGGTACCAAGGTAATAATAGGAACGCCGAATGCGGAATCATTAAGAGGGCAATAAGGAACATGCGGACAATGAGGATATATAAGGGGACACATCTTGTACATAAACAATCATCTGAACGATCTTTTATATATGCAAAAAATATATAAGTATATATAAATAATAGGTCAGAACCGGCGCTGCCATTAGAGTAGTGATTATATATGATCATAATTTAGTGTATTTATACTTCGCAATCAGTAATAAGGCGTGTTTAATATTTACGTTCCAACAATATCAGCCATGATGATGGAATCTAAATTTATCGTTAAAACGATACAAAGTTTTTACTGCGTCCAATAGTACTCCTAGCGTTAGGATTATTTTTATTTTTGAGTTTGTAAGGTTCAGTTGGAAGCGTTTCTTGATTGGAGTCATAAATTTTGAAGAGCCTGATATTAGAAAAGGTAGACTACCAATCTATGTTGGAGAGTACATGTCAAGAAGGAACCCATTTGATCAGGATTAGCAACTAAAAGTGCATTCCATCTTAGGGTTTTCTTTTTCTGTCACCAAAAATTGTAGACTTGACGATATTCGTTACATTCTTTGCTGTGGTGACCCCTGAGTAACATAATCAACATCTTTAGATAATTTCACTTGAGCAGAGACCAGTGAAAATAAGATTGCAAATAGCCATAAAGATAATGAAATAGTATTCTTTGAACCCATCGTAAACCTTAACTTGAGAGATGATGTACAACAATGCTATAAGATCCAATAGGAATAATATCCTTCCCAGGTTCCTCGCTGTAATTATGTTAACTATATTTACTATTTTGAATATAGGTATAACAAAATGATAAGAGGGGTCGGGATACGAGCAACCTTAAATAGTCCTCTTTTTCATCATTTTTAAAAAAAATTTGGAAAATTTAACAATTTTATTACATTAAATTGGAGCATTACGATTCCGTCAGTACGTAGACAATATCTACGACAGTTCTATTGTTGATGTTTAAGAATGCTCTACTGTGATTCGGTTCCTGAACTCATCATGTTTTGATGAATAGTCTTACCCAGACAAGTGCTGAAAGGACACTTCGAGAATAGAAATTGTGTAGCAACCTAGACTATGGTACCATGGTTACATTTCAAACTTCTGTTGGATTTCATTATGCTTGCGAGTGCTACTTTCCCGTCCGCCAGATGGTTCGGAAGTATTCAACTCTGCCGCGTTGTCTCAAATTACTAAGTAGTTATCTTCTGCAGGCGCACATGGAGACTGTTCTTTGATAAAGCAATTTATAGAGAATTGGTCTGTAGATATAAAACACGCTATACTATCAGTTGTGAAATATAAATACCCCATATAATGATCATTTAGATAACTTTTAGGTACAGGATTATCCTCTTTGATAAATTTTACTGTCCGCTTGTTCCTTATTGTGCTTTTATACCTTACTGTCCTCATATTACTGTATATATATTCGTACACAGTAAGTGTAACGCTGCATGTTCAGCCTCTGTATCTGCATTCTGACATAGAGTGTGATATTCTATGAAGGATTAGTCAGTGGGGACTGGGTATGATCATGAGAGAACAAGAAAAAAAAAGACCAGAAGTATTACCTTGAAGAATTGAAGATGATAAAATCCAGTTCCTTGAAAAGGCGTCCAGAGATCTAAATTACCATGACCTCATAGAGGATATCGTTAAAAATTTATGATGTCAATATCACGATTTATCCACCAGTCAAAGTATTCAATTACGGAATGTAAAAAGCAAAAAATAAATAGAAATAATTCAGATAAAGATTGGACACTAGTAATAGACTTGTTGCATTGTATCGATTACACGTTCTGCTAATATCGTTTGGAATCAGTCATAAAAATTATCCTATACGCTCTGGGATAGCGAGGTTATATATATACTCATTAGATTTCTCATCGGATCGGGTCATTCGGAATTATTAAAATCTGGTTAATTGAAAAAGATAAAACAAAATAAAACAGAAAAAAAAAATCTTCGATATTTATATCCCTCACTATTCTTCTTACTTAACTTAAATCATAATATAATTATGGTATGCTACTCTCAGAAGGAATATTTTGAGCAGCAGTGTTATAATTATATTTCTTTTATACTGCTCATTTTTTTCCTCATTTATTGGTATGACACACGCACAAGACAATATCGTTTCTTTTCCAGAAGGTGAAGGAGAAATAGTTCAACCTAATGTATTTTCGGATCAAGAAGATCGTCTTGGTCCTAACCAAGTGCTCACTCACACCATCGGGGTCATGACTGCCGGTTTTATAGGAATGTCAGGGTATTCTTCCCTAGCAACTTATTTAACACAAGAAATTGTAAACACACCATGCGGTCAAACCCACTGGAGTTTTACCCCAGATGAAGACAAATCCAAGTTTTACCATGGTAATATTTTCATCTATGTCCAGAATGGTTGCGATTGAAAACCTACTATGACAAAGGCGTTGATTTATTTAGCAACCAAAGGTTCTATAGAACAATTGCACAATATGGATAGAGATGCTGGGAAGATATATTATCACCATGGTGACTGTTGGGGAGCGACAGTCACTATAGCTGTTGGAACAGCCGAAGAGCCTGGTGAATATTATGAAGGTGATACCTTTACTCCTAAATCTGATTATAAATGGACAGTGTCTCCGAATATTGACCAATAACCTTCAGAATTTCTTTTGGATCGAGTAAATGTTTCGTAAGGAAGTTGTAATATTATTCGCGAAGCAAATAATCCTAAAATTGTTGAAAATAGTAATGAATAAAACGTAAAATATAAAAATTCATTTAAAATAACTACCATGTTTCTAAGTTTGTTATTCCAACCTCAAGAGTCTAGATGAGTGAACAAAGATGTATCCATATCGTTATGACTGCAGAAACTTCCTTCTAAGGCGATGTTCATTCTTGGGATAATCTTACCATAACTGAATTATTCAATGTATGCTATAGATTCATCTTAAATTATTTCGGCAGTTGACCGGTTTTTCTGTATACGATCTGTGCACGTGACCTCGCCGAAAGTGCAAATAAAGAAACATAATCAGAGTACAGCCTGTGTAATACTCCTATGACGCTTCTGTGGTGTAAAGAATGTTATTTACAATTCCGTCGAATATGCTTATCTATGACGTTAGAGATAAGAAAGCGTATCGGTGAGAGTGCAAAAAACGCTCCATAGAACTAGACATAAATTATAGTGCATCATGTTATTCCAACATACATACAAAAATACTTACATTTGGTTTTATCACATCCAGAATTTACTCTTATCAACATAACGTCGACCATTTCCAAAGAAAGTGTATGATAACTAGTACTGAAATATTCGGACTTCTTAGCGTATTTAGCTGGCTTTGCGCCCAAATACCGCAATGTTATAAAAACTACAGGCTCAAATCGATAGAAGGCCTCAGCCTGGAGTTCATCGTAAGCTGGCTCATAGGCGACCTATTGAATGTGGTAGGATGTATATTTTCCAACCAACTGCGATTCCAATTGGTCTTGTCTATCTGGTTCGTTTTTGTTGATATTATACTCACACAACAATATATCAGCTACAAGGACACTCAAGATGAGAGAGGTAGACCTGTAACAAGGATGCTAACCCATAGACAGACAGTCTCTCTGTCTATCAACCGCGTAGCAACCAGACCACCCTTGACGAACAAAGGAGCTAAACGATCACAAACACATTCCGTACAAAGAACAGGAAGGAGTACAAGTAGAAGCAGGTCTATTGCTAGCCTGCTGATCCTCACAATGACTTTAGGAGTTAGTGCAGCACCGACTATCACACCGTCACAAGTCAATAGCGAGATAAGTGCAACTGTGGGCAAATTGAGCTCGTGGGCTTGCGTCACTTTCTATTTAAGCAGCAGAATGCCACAGATATATTACAATTACCAGAGGAAGTCAGTTGAAGGATTGTCGGTTTACCTTTTTATCTTTGCGTTACTAGGCAATTCATGCTACACATTGTCCATAATGACTTCACCGCAGCTCCACCAATCACGTCCACTGGCTGTAGAATATCTACTGAAGTCACTTCCGTTAGTGCCACCCTACAACTCACTTCCAAACTAACATACATATCAGGTTTCTCATAGGTTCATTCGGAACAATACTGTTTGACATCATAATTATATTACAAGTTATCATATACAAGAACAACTACACATCAGAAGAGCGACAACCATTATTATAAGACTATACCATCACACCAGCACATCATTTGCAATACCACTTTGTAAATTATGTATAAAAGTTTAAGACAGAGTTGATAAACAGAGTAGAAATTGAGTAATTTACAGATCAGTGTTCTCTTGCGGGTCATCAAAGTTGCGTTTTATGGAGACTATGTAAAACAATCATGTCATACAGGTGATGAACTCGAACGTGTCGGATTTTGGGAAGTACCAGAACACCAAAGCAATGATGAGGTAACTACCAAGTAAGACACAACCACTCAACCAATGACTTCTACCATCTTCGATAGCGAATCTTGCTAACAAGATTGATAAAAATAGTACGACTGTTTCCATTGGTTCAAATACTAGAGTGAGTGGTTTCGAGATGATCCAAGCGAGTAGAACAATTAGTGGAATGACAACTAGATGGAGATAAGAAACAAACAGGGAAGTTCTACTATTAACTTACATATAGCGATCTGAACGGTAGATCCCAGAGCGACGGCCAAAGCCAGTTCTTGCTTTCCTTTAGCGGCAGCAATAACAGCTGTGGCGTGCTCCGCAGCATTGCCAACTATTGGCAAAATGATTAGCGAGATCCACTCCTTGGATGCGCTTGTACTATCTGCCAAACCTTGTATTGAATCTACTAGTGCTTCACATGTAAAGTATAATAATATTGTCGTTATAATCAAAATTGCAATACTAGTCCCAATATTCAACCTAGGATGTTCAACTTGACGTTTGTTGTCAATGCGTGGCGTTTCATCGCACTTTGTTGAACCGGAGTAGGTTGATGTTGAAGTCATGAGCGGCGTAGCTATAATAGGGGCAGTTCTAGCCCTTTTTAATTGCGGTCGTTTGAAGCCAGCTTCTAAATCGTCAGATAATGAAGTTACATGTGCTTGCGTTGTGCTATCTGGATGAGTTGGAGAGATTAAACCATCATCTTCAACGTGATCCAAGAATTCTTCTTGATGGGTATAAAAGGTGAAAGTCATATAGCATAAATAAATAAATATCAGAATGATAGATGTACCTCTAGACATCTGTAAGATAAAAGACTTTTCCGAAGTAGGATTTTCTGGAAATTTATCACCGAGGATTGTATGGAATGCTAGGGGGATCATGAGGGACATTACTGATAACATCAATAGGCTGGTATTGAGTGATGCGGGAAGTTGTTTGAAAGACTGTTGGCTGAACTTTATACCGCCAGCAATGAATGACATTCCAAGCACGAGGAGAATGTTGGAAAGTAAACCACCGAGTAAAGAAGACTGAACTATAGATAATTCACATCTAACTAAAGCGAGTACTGCGATGATAATTTCAACTAAATTTCCAAGCGTGGCGTTGAGCAAACCACCGAGGGGTACTGACGTACGCAAGGCGATCTCTTCAGTGCCAAATGAAAGCAAAGCGGCTAATGGTACGACACCAAGTATGGAGGTGACGAAAGTACCGATATCGGTGATGTGTATTTGATGAAGTGCCCAGCTAATTGGAGCTGAGATTAAAAGAATGTTGAGCCAACTGTAACAGATAGTATTTCTAATAGATTCGACGTATCCTGGGACTGGTGCCACTGGATATGCAGGTGTGATAAACGCTCTAAAAGTAAGAGGTCTACGGAAGGGCGATGACGAACTACTCGGCGGTTTGAGATCGTCGTCGTCGCTGTTTAATTGCTTGTCGTTATTACTACTACCATGCGAGTTGTTTCTCTTGAAAAAGCCTGAGATCATGAACGTATGTGAGAACTGTTCTGCTGTCGTCATCCATCGCGGTCATAGAGTAAATAAAAATAAAATAAATTAATTATTACAAATTACTAGCATTCACCTAAGAACCTATTCTTTGGGAATTCTTGTCCGTAGTCATCGACAAATGTTGTCATATTTGGGCTATCAACGTTGTTAATCATAACACAGCAAATTAATTTTTCACTCACTTTTGATATGCCTCCTTGAAGTGCTCTATGTAGTTTGAAGTTGGTCTATTCTTTGGATCACAGCCGAGATTAATGCTGCCTTCTGGTTGATATACTCTCACCCAGTCGACATACATGATGGCCGGGAAGACGAGCTCGTCGAAGTTTACATCACCAAAGTTCTTGGAGATACCCAAGTTGAGAATTATATACATTGGCTCCTCACTGATAGTTCTTTGTCCAATTTTCGCGACTGGATCAGGTCCCATCGCACTACCAAAGATTGTCCAGGTTTCCTCACCATCTGAAGCCCATGTCTGCGTAATTAATAAGTATATCCAATGAAAACCTTAGATATTACTCACAATATGACCGTTGTTACCACTTTCAAACTCAATACCATACTCAGAATAGCAACTACCATTAGGAGTTGGATTAGTTCCACTATAGCACGCTTGATTTGTCGTGGCCAAACTAGATGTTGCCTGCTGGAATACACCTCCCAAGTAGGAGTTTATTTCAGCTTCGTCATTGTGGAATTCGTAAGTTTTACCCTTCTGATCGATAAACTGGTAGTTGGCGTTGAAAGGCGCCCATTGTGCAGACTGAGACACTTGACCAGTCCTAGATGCAATTTCAACTTGAGCTTCAAAGACATCAATTTCAGGTGCGGCACGTCCAACAAACTCTCCTGTTTTGCTATCTATCGGACCTGGGTGAACTTCACCAGGACAAGTACATCTCGAAAGACGCTGACCAGGGAGGTACGAAAGAGCACCTTCATCGTACTCACTACCTACCTCGTGATTCGCAACGGCAGTGGGTTGACCTTGGTATGTCTGATTAGCTACAGTACCAACATCACAACTATCATAAGAGTATGGCCACAATCCTTCTAATGATGCACCATATGCAGCTCTACCGAGGTTCTACGAAGTCATTGTTAAGATTGTGTGTCGGCGAAATTTTGAACGACTTACACCCATTGTCCAGAAAGCAGGCCACAAACCCCAAACATCACTTGTGCCAGGTAAGGCAATACTAGCTGACAGATAGGCATTATCTGAGAAACAGAATTTGTTCCATGTTGTAATCATACCACCAGCGAAATCCAAATCATGAGTTTCCCTTTCATCAAGAGTGATAGCGAGTTTACCTTCTGTAGTCGTTACTTGTTGAGGTGAATACCATTCCAAATTGTTTGTACCCCAATAGTGCAGATCAACGGCTTCCCAATAAGGATCTTCACCTGGGTAGAATGTCCGTCCATCGACATTAAATTCATCAGAAAATACCAATACTTGCTTTTTGCCATCGAAACCTGTGCGATGATGTACTGATTCTGGAGTGTCTGGGTCGATCATACCAAAATTTATACTGTATTCTGGGATTTGTCCTGTTGCATTAATACCGCCTAAACCGTAAGAGCCACCAGTATCTGTATCTCGCTTTCTGAATGCTTCCAGAAGAGGGTATCCAGCGCTTTTATATCTTAAGATATGCTTTTGTAACCGCAAGAGACTCACAATAACATTAATAGAGCACCAGCGATAATAGAAACGCATCCCAAATTCATAATACCTCGAACTGTAAAGGCATGCCCAGATCTATCGAGTTTTCTACGCCTATGTTAACAGAAAAACTTATATGGTCGCAAGTCATACCTCGCTGTCTAAAACATCCAAGTTAGACTGTAAGCGCCATACCGTAAAGTATACTCACACCAGGATCATGCATATCATCGTCGTCTTCAGCGGATGTGTGATCAATACTCCACCATTCCTAATAATGGTAAGATAACTCCTTTAGTCTTAAAATAAGCGTACCGGGTCAGGAGAAGCTGAGTATTGTGCAGGACTGAAAGCAGCACCTGAACGATTTGGAGTGAGACTGCCAGACCGACTGGACAAACTTGAAGGAGAACGCTGCATAGCCTTTAGTGCACAATTAGCTGTATCATCTCATCTAGCATAAATAACTTACTTTGATCTCCTCAGAGGCTACATCAGTGACTCTGACAGACCTAGATGGCCAGTTTATTGCGCTTAAGAGACCCATTATGGCTTTCTAGGGTATTTGAATGATAAGTCAGTGATTAGCAACTGAACGTCAACCTTTGGCGTTATTTTTAATTCATTCTTCAACTGATTTAGTTTTGGTATGAAGACGCGTCTGGCTTTGATTTTTGTAAGGCACGTAGAATAATGAAATGAACTGCGCCTGCGGGTGTTATTATGGTAGTGATTGATTACTTGGCAATTCAATACAGTTTATGTACTCGATTTGATAGTGCATCTTTGAGTATCATACTAACAATCTCGTTCAGAATATTGATATCGTTCTTTGGAGATCTGTAACATATGAAGAGTGTAGAAGTCTAATATAATCTCAAATATATTACATCTCTGATATTATCCATATATCTTCAATTCTCAGTACTAGTGAAAACACAAACACACCAGTTTGATTAGAACACTGGAAAGAGTATTGTATACTATAAATAAAATAAATCCTAATAATTTAGTTGAGTATGCACCATCGCTTGTTTCTTTCTTTCTACTCTACTACCATCTCATCACGATGGAAGAAGACTTGTTCGACGTCTTTGATGGGCCATCTGAGCCAATAGAATTAACACAGAGTGCTAGTAAGCGTGCACACTCGGAAGAATCTCAATCAAATTCAAAGAAGACGAAAACTGGAGATAATAAGAGAGATCCAGAAGAAAAACCTACAGAAGAGCAAAATAAAAGAGATGACGATATTTACAACAGAGATCAAGAGCTTGTACCTGTTGAATTAGCAGATGAGGTTGAAACTGAAGCCACAAGAGAAGTCGCTGCAAACGCCGGTTTGGCGGGTACAACAGAGGAAGGAGATGCAGCTGGTCAGATATCCCTCCAACATCAAGTTAGGCATAGAGTAGCATTGCCGCCAAATTACCCCTACGTCCCTATCTCCCAGCATGTACCAGCCAAGGAACCAGCGAGATCGTATCCATTCACTTTGGATCCTTTCCAGCGTGTTTCAGTAAACTCAATAGAAAGAGACGAAAGTGTACTCGTATCTGCGCACACAAGTGCTGGTAAAACTGTTGTCGCGGAATATGCAATCGCACAGTGTTTGAAGCGTGGTGAAAGAGTCGTATATACGTCTCCAATAAAGGTGTGTAGAAATTGCGCTTTAGATTCGTCTTCCTAACCAGCTGATTAGGCACTTTCAAACCAAAAATACAGAGAAATGTTGGCAGACTTTGGTGATGTCGGTTTGATGACTGGTGATGTTACGATAAATCCCTCAGCAAGTTGTTTAGTTATGACAACAGAAATTTTGCGATCAATGTTGTATAGAGGTTCTGAAATCATGAGAGAAGTTTCCTGGGTTATCTTCGATGAAATTCATTACATGAGAGACAAGGAGAGGGGTGTTGTTTGGGAAGAAACCATTATTTTGTTGCCTCACAAAGTTAGATATGTCTTCTTATCAGCTACAATCCCAAATGCTCACGAATTTGCTGCTTGGGTATGTCACACTCACAATCAACCTGTTCATGTTGTATACACAAACTACAGACCAACACCTTTACAACATTACTTGTTCCCGGCTGGTGGTGAAGGTATTCATCTTGTCGTAGATGAGAAAGGTCAATTCAGAGAGGAGAACTTTGTCAAAGCAATGGGGGCACTTATGGACGCTGGTGGAGAAGCTCCAGCAGATGCAGCGAAGGGTAAATCCTCAAAGAAGGGTACCAAGAAGGGTGGTAACAAAGACCAGTCAGATATCTACAAAATTGTCAAGATGATCATGATGAGGAACTACAACCCTGTTATTGTTTTCGCTTTCAGTAAAAGAGAGTGCGAGAATCTTGCTTTGCAAATGTCAAAATTGGAATTCAACAGTGATCAAGAACGTGATATGGTTAGTAAGGTCTTCACGAACGCCATCGCGAACCTCAACGATGAGGATAAGAATCTTCCACAAATACAACAGATATTACCGTTATTGAGAGTAAGTTGTGTCACAGTAGATGGAACTTTGTTGTTAACGTACAATAGCGTGGTATTGGTATTCACCATGGTGGTCTTCTTCCAATTCTCAAAGAAACAATAGAAATCCTTTTCCAAGAGGGTCTTTTGAAGGTGAGCGTTTATATCATCGGTATAGCATTTTTAACACCCAACTAGGTACTATTTGCCACTGAAACCTTCTCAATTGGTTTGAACATGCCTGCAAAGACCGTAGTATTCACAAACGTCAGAAAATTCGATGGTAAAGACTTCAGAACGCTCACCGGTGGTGAATATATTCAAATGTCAGGTAGAGCGGGTAGAAGAGGTCTTGATGATAGAGGTATCGTTATCATGATGTGTGATGAGAAGCTCGAACCAACAAACGCAAAGGGAATGGTTAAAGGTGAAGCTGACAGACTGGATTCAGCTTTCCATTTGGGCTACAACATGATATTAAATTTGATGCGTGTTGAAGGTATCTCACCTGAGTACATGTTGAATAGATGTTTCTATCAACATCAACAAACTCAATCAGTTCCACAACTTGAAAAGGAGCTCAAGGAATGGGAAGCTGAAAGAAACAACATAGTTGTGCCTGAAGAGACAGCTATCACCGAATATTATAATCTTAAGAAACAATTGGAAGATTTCAGCAGCGATATCAGACAAGCACAGAATCTTCCTCAATACGCACTTCCATTCTTGCAGCCAGGTAGACTTGTGAAAGTAAGACATCAAGATTTGAACTTTGGCTGGGGTGTGGTTGTGAATTACAATAAGAGGGTCGGACCAGCAAAAAAACCATTACCAGCTGATACGAAGCCACAAGAAACTTATATTGTTGATGTACTCTTAAACTGTGCTTCTGGATCAAGTGTGCCAAAAGATCGTAACTCTAACAACTCGGATCAATCATTAACATTCAAACCATGTCCAACTGGTGAAAAGGGTGAAGCTATGGTTGTACCAGTGTTGCTCTCAACTCTCGATGGTATCAGTCATATTAGATTATTCTTACCAAAAGACCTCAGACCAGCTCAAGCAAAGGAGCAAGCTTACAAGAGTGTCAGAGAAGTTCAAAAGCGTTTCCCTAAGGGTGTCGCAATGCTCGATCCTGTTGAAAATATGAATATTAAAGATGAAGGTTTCAAGAAATTAATAAATAGAGTTGCAATTCTTGAAACTAAAATTAAGGAGAACAAATTAACATCAGACGAAAGACTAGATGAGATTTATCAAGCATACCTTAACAAACTCAACATAATCAACAAAGTTAAGGAAACAAAGAAGAAAATTCAAACTACTCAAGATGTTATACAACTTGATGAACTTAAATGTCGTAAGAGAGTCTTGAGGAGGTTGGGATTCACTTCACAATCTGATGTTATTGAGATGAAAGGAAGAGTTGCATGTGAAATTAGTACAGGTGATGAATTATTACTCACGGAGATGATATTCAATGGCGTATTTAATCAATTAACATCTGAACAATGCGCAGCACTTCTTAGTTGCTTCGTATTTGATGAAAAATCTGAAGCAAACCAAACCTTGGATAATGAATTAAAAGCACCTTTACATGTACTTCAAGAAGGTGCAAGAAGGATAGCAAAAGTTTCATTAGAATCTAAACTTACATTTGATGAAGAAGTTTACGTTCGTTCATTTAAGGTTGAACTTATGAATGTCGTTATGGAATGGTGTAAAGGAAAAACATTCGCACATTTATGTACACTCACAGATGTATTCGAAGGTTCTATAATTAGAGCTTTTAGAAGATTACAAGAATTACTTCGTCAAATGGCATCAGCAGCAAACGCGATTGGTAATAATGATCTTAAGGAGAAGTTCGAAAAAGCTTTGGAATTAGTTGATAGACCGAACTCAGTTGTTAGCTGTCAATCATTGTACCTTTAATTTATATATTTTCATTTATTAGTCATGCATAGAATTCTTTTACAAAATTAACGGGAACCGAAAGGTAGAAGATATAAAAAAATCAATCCGTGTATGTATTGGATAAATGCTAGAAAACATGTGTTGATTACTAAAAAATACGTTCGTAATATCATATATACATTCATGCACATAGTTGAGATAGTCCAGCTACCAGTATTGTTCAGATAAACCACTGAGGCCTTCTTGCATTCTTGCAAATGTCCTTGAAGCTGTGAGCATACCTCTTAAATCCATACCCTTAATCTTGTCACTAAAACCTCGTCTACCTGGACGTGGAACATTCGCAGAATACTGTTGTTGTGGAGGTGTAACAAAATTAAAGAAAAGTGAGGTCTCTGGTGATAAAATATTCAACAACAGTTGTGCTAACCAGAAGAATGGAAGTGGTTCACTAACATATGGTGGTTTACTATCCTTTGGCGTGGTAGTAGTACCATAGTCTAAGAAATCCTTAGTTGGTGATGGTTCGTAACTAGTTGGTGGACTATCGGAAGGTGTTGTGGAACCACTAAAGTCAAAGCTATTATTATTTGAATCACTATAATTCCGACTGGATGAACTTTGATTTGAGTAAATTACAGAATTTGATTGATGCTGATACTGTTGTTGTTGCTGTTGTTGTTGTTGTTGTGAGACTTGATCAACGTATGTCTTTTGCTTCTGACAGAGTAAATCAAAGTCATAACCTTTTCTCCAATTTATGAGTGATGTTCTGAAAGCATAAATAGCTGAGCCTTCAGAGTAACCATTCATATATTTAGATCCAAGGCTACCACCATTTTCTTCACCGATTTCAAGTAAACCTCTTACTATTGAACAAATGATAACATTTCTCGCAAATGGACCTAAAGCTTGTCCGAAATAATTATCATCACCTTGATTAAAGAGTACCGCCATTATTTCACCATGTGTGGGCGTTCTTGGTGTTGTATCAATTAATTTTGCCCAGCTCTGAGCATTTGGTGCCATCCAAAGTTTATCATTAGCAGGTAAAGGTACATGGTCAATCTCATCGATTCTTAATGTTGGCTTTTTGTTGGTTGCTATTGAATTAACAAGATCTGTAAGGTATATTATGAAAATCGCTCTACGTTTTTGTTCGTCATTAATCCAACTCTTCCAAGCAAGGTATATTGAAGCTTTTGAACGCTCGCCCATGTAAGAAAGCTTCGGTTTGTTTGGATTGACCCATGCTGAATTTGGATGTAACATGCCTGCATTTCTCGCTGCCTGTGGTTGTGTTAGTGTAATTCATTTGACGACAACATCCACTCACCTCACAAATGAAAGCAAAGCCTCCATTTATACCATTCCAAATATTACTACTTGAGTCTTCCTCAAGGATAACCGGAGCATAGTAGATTAACAAAGCCATAACCAAACCGATGAGATCAGATTGAGCAGTTTTACTTGATCTGTTTGACAAACTACCATGAATCATAGCAATCTTTTCATGTCTGACAACTTCTTTAACGATGCCAGTTTGTTCAGCTGCACTTTTACCAGGTTTATTATTTAACTCTGCATCGGAGAGATGATCGATAGATTGATTTTTAGCTTTCAATGTTTTTGGAGTGTTTCCACCTGTACTACATAAAGCGAATGCTACACAAACGCTAGTCTCCGATAATTTGAAAGAAGGCATGTGAATTAAAGGTAAATGTACGTTGGTAGTTTGGAGTGCATTTGAGCATAACTTTGATAGTTGATGTAAAGGAGGTAAGTTCCAATGAGCGATACTGTAAGGACCTGCGAATCTTTCAGCAGGTAGATAGAATCTATCAGAAATTTCATTATGTGATGGATTGAGTGGTAAACCGAAACCTTGACTAACAGTATCATACTCAATTCTTCGTATTGTTTTTTCAGGACCAAGTACATCGAAATTGTAAGGTTGTACCGCGTTTATATCAACTGGTGCTTGCTGATTGAAATTCAAACTGAGTGCGTTATCGGTTGGTGTTTCGGAGTAGATATCGGCGGTATAATTTAAATCTGGACCAATAGAAGGATAATCGAAGTCGGTTGGTATACTTGTAACTTGGCTATCATCATTACCAAGTAAACTACCGATACTGTCAAAAATGCTGAAATTCTGTGTGCCATTGAGATTTGACAAATCAGGGAAAGTATTCGATGGTTGATAAGAAGTTGTAGGTTTTGGTGGTAACTTGTGTACATACTCGCTATCACTTGGCGAACTAGCTGAGGCATCTGATGAGCTACCCCTTGTTCTACTAGTTGAACTGCTTTTACTTGGGGTTGTTGCGTTTCCATCTGGATGACACCTCCGCCTATGGCGATTGAGAACGTCACTTGATAGTGTGAGATCGGGTAGAGTGGATAGAGCAATATATACTAACCTTCTAGCAAATGATTTATTGCAGTGTGTGCAATGGAACGTTTTACCAGCTTCCTTTTGATCTTTTATTTCATTAAGTAATCTATAGGGGAAATGGGAGTAACTTACGAGCAGATCTTGCGTGTCTACGTAAGAATTCAGCTCTCGAGTAGCTCGTACCACAAATCTCGCAGATGAATTGTTTTGATGACATGGATGTTGATAGAAAAGAGATGTTCTTGGTAAGCGACGATGTACTTTCGGAGCTTTTTAAGAGGCGTCAATAGGAAGCAATTTAGTTACAGTAATAAGCGTACATTCTTCTTTAACGCTGCATCTACTCAATTAGTGGGGTCTTCAACTACACCACATATCGTACCAAGTTTAATTCCCTATATGGTCGCACTCTTGTTAGCTGCTACAAATAATAACGAAAACTGCGATAACATGGACCATATTGTTGCTGACCCTCCACTTGAACTCTACGATGTGAGTGTGCTCTTCTCCTCCGAGGCCACCCGAAAGTTTGGAATGTTGACTGCCTCCACTAGACAAAGAGCGCAGGAATAGCTGTAAGGGCCTCTAGGGATATAAAGAGGGGTGAATTGCTTATTTCTGAATTACCTTTACTCATATGGGAGGAGGGAATGTCTCCGGAACAATTAAGACATTGGACAGATCAATTGACACCTTCAGCACGTCAAACTCTGTTTAATTTGTCTAAACGGTCTGATAAGCTTGCTATAGAAGCTGAAGAGAAGGATAATACAGATGAATCAGCTCGTATACGTTCAGCTAATGGTTTCGATTTGGAACTTCCAGGTATTCCTTTATCATTTCATGGAAAATTACCACCTCAACCAACACGTGCTAGCTTCTTATTTCCTAATATTAGTAGGATAAATCACTCATGTTTACCAAGTTGCGGTCACGCACTCGATTGGACTCGTCTTCGAATGGAGATTTTTGCTATGCGCGATATACATAAAGGTGAAGACATCTCAATAGAGTATCTCCCACAGATGATTACTCTTTCAACTGAAGAAAGGAAAGCGAAATTGCAGACAACATTTGGCTTCAGTTGTGCATGCCAACTCTGCTCAAGTGATAATGAAACAATCGAGCAATCAGATAGACGTAGAAAACAACTTAAGCTATCATCAAGGAATCTCTTTGGCGCTGGCCTTAACAGACAACAAATGGTTGGGGAGTTAGAACGTATGCGTGTGATCCTTCAAGAGGAGGGCTACAAGGTTTTGCCAGAGTTCGAACAAGAGAACATATCAAAAGCCTACGCTGTATTTACTCAAATGCGTTCAAACTTTATTAAACAAGACGAAGAATAATCATTATTTATTTATTTGTACAAAATTTTCATATACAACAATTTCAATTGATGATATACATTTAATTGATGAACTTTGCTTAATGTTACATGTTGCTTAATACTGCAAATGGTATACTTGATGCGATCTTATTGATATAAAGAAGTAAAGAAATGAAAATGTTTGCAAAACAAACTAGCTAGCTAATATCCACGCATGGCTGGCGTATGGCCTGGTGGACCGGTAGTAAAGCCAGAATTTGGAGCTACCAGAGGATTTTGCTGCTGTGTTGATTGCGGATGATCGTGATAATGTACCTTTCCCTGGTTTGGTTGATTCTGTGTAGCTCCACATTCCCAATTTTCATATGCTTGAAGATGACCCGGTGGAGAAATACCAAAAAAGCGAGGTGGAGGCATATTACTAAGGTTTCTCTGCGTGTTGTTGTTAACACAGTCTAATCCTAATGCCACACTGCCGACATTCATTAGGTGTTGTGGTTGCGGTTGTTGAATCATTGGATATTGCTGTATTGGGATTGACCCTGCTGAAGGAAAACCCGGAGCTTCATCCTTGCTTGGACTGTCTTTAGATGATTGCTGGGCATTGGTCGTCGCCAAATTTTCATTCCATCTCTCGAGATCTTGAGGGCTGTAGAGAGGAACTAATCCTGCATTTGTGGTCATAAAACCAGTTGCACGCAAAGGTGCCATTGGGTGTGTATCTGGAGGTACTGTCATGTAACCAGCACGTACAGCTATAATCTGTTTAGTTTCATCAGATAAACTGGAATAACTCACCTGGAGCAGCCACCCCAACTCCCACGTTAACTTCATTGTCATTCGACGCAATTAAACCATCATTTGTCTTCGTTTGTGCCATTGGGTAGGGGTATGCATAAACCGGCTGTCCAAAATTAATAGCAGTCGGGTATGGAATAAAAGCTGGAGTTGTTGCAGCTGGGTAATACGCTTGATTAAATTGTTGACCGGCGTGTGTGAAACCATGGTAGTAAGTACCAGTTTGAGGTGGACCAGTTTCCATATAATTCATATTCAAATAATGGCGAGGATTCCTACCACTGTTACTCTTCGGTGGACGATTGCTGTGGCGTCTATAACCACCTCTTCTATCATCGAAAGACTGTTGGTGACCACCTCTAAACAGCTTCCTAGGTGGACGAGGATCGTAGTTTAGTGGCTGAGTAGGCGGCGTGAGTGGATAACTGGTCTCCATGGACTGATTAGCATTGTTATTCACATCAAGACTGAGTTGAGGTGTCGATGGTATCATGTTAGTTGGCGTATTTGGCGATTCTTGGGGCTGTTGATGATCGCGCATTTCAGGAAATGATTCAGAGCGCGTATTGAGCGTGAGAGATTTTGCAACATCCTCTGATAAATCAGCTGCAAGATCTAGTGCGCCCATATTCTTATCGAGCGTGACTTCATTCTCCTTCGAGCATTCTGAAGTGAGAGAAGGAAAGTTTGCAGTGTCGTTGAGTGGTAACGGAGGAGTATTATGACGATCGTGATGAACCTCATGTGCCCAACTAAGTTTAAAAAGAGAAGACTGACGGTGGTTGAACCAGGCAGCCATACAATCGTCTCTGTACTTGAATCTGATGACGTATTCACCCTGATTAGCGGACTCTTCTGGGACAAGAGCCTTAGATGGACCTGCAAGGAAGAATTCTATTTCGCCGTGTCTGCTGAAGAATGCTTCAATAGCTGTACTATCGATTGAGGGTGAAGAAATGCGTAAACTACGATTAACACGTGCTCTTTCCACGCGTAAGAGTCTGTCTTTGAGGTATAGCTTATTAGACTTGTTCAATGCGAGGTCGGCCTGAGTAGAATGCTAAGTGGGTGTAAGTGAGGCTGCAAGATAAGGCTGTGTGATGAACCAACTTGAAATTGAATGAAAGCGCCGAGTCTATCTTTGAGGAATATTAATGGGTGGCTAGATAAATATCTACAACCCACTCTGCTTATCTCTGTTCAACTTTACGTGATGTACTTTACCAAACTTAGAGAAGAGCTGAGTGAGTTTGTACTTCAACTCATCGTCTCTGAATTGTTCAGGAAGGCTACTATTGTTATCTCAGTCTTTATCGTGCTAGTCTACCCACTTTGCACAGAAGAGTGCAGCCTTTGGGAGTGGCTTCATCGTCGTATCAATTAGAGTTCTCTATTATTTAAAAAACTTTAGTCTTTTTTATTATTTTATTGATTCGATTGTTACACCTTTCGACTCCTACAGTCATCATCATCAATGTCGATGAAACCGTTACCACGCAACCGTAAGAATCCAGGTCTCGGTCGTGCGTTGATAAACAATCAACGTAAAGAGCCACCTAAGGATTCTCAAATGCATACGACTGACTATGCTATGTCTTCTGTAACACAAGAGAAAGATTTGGATGAATTTTTGAATACGGCCGCTATGGCAGAAACTGAATTCACTGCAGAGAAAGATAAGAATGTCACCGTTATACAGCACCCTTCAATTTCTGGTCACAACAATCCTTTCTTACTCAGCGAAGAGGAAGAACAGAAAGTTAAGGCGAAACATGATTTGAAGAAGGATCAGTTGAGGTTACCACAGAGACCTGAATGGGATAGCAGAACTACTCCTGCTCAATTAGACAAATCTGAAAGAGAGAGCTTCTTGAACTGGAGGCGTGATTTAGCTATGTTGGTAGAGAGTGACGATAGTTTATTACTCACACCATACGAACGTAACTTAAATGTCTGGAGACAGTTATGGAGAGTCATCGAACGCTCTCAACTCATCGTTCAAATCGTTGATGGTAGAAATCCTCAAATGTTCTGGGCTAGGGATTTAGATCCATACACCCGCAGAATGGGTGAAAAGGAAGTAAATTGGCGCACAGAAGGTAAACTTAACGTTGAAGGAAAGCGTTCATTGGTTTTGATAAACAAAGCTGATCTCTTGGACATTGAACAACGTGAAAGATGGGCAGATTTCTTCGATAAGCAAGGTATTAGATACGCCTTCTTTAGTGCTCTCAATGCATCTGAACTTATTGAACAATTACGTGTCGTTAGACAGGTCAGAGATGAAATCTTAAATGCTGATCAAGTCGCTCAAGTTGCAGAAGAACAAGAAAGACAAAGGAAAGAGTTAGAAGTACAAGATATAGTTGAATCAGCAAAGGAGAATGCAGTTGAGAATGGTCAACATCCTCCAATTGAATCTGCTGAGGGATACGTCTCCCATGCTCGTGGTTTACCTGTCAACGTCGACCAAGCAATTGATGCAGTCAGCAAACTCAAAACAGATGATAATGAAGAAAAAGAAACCGTCGCAGCTGAAGCAACTGAACCTGCTCCAGAAACTGCTCAACAACCTGAAAGTCGGAGAACTAGAGTATTGAATATCGTAGAACTTGAACAACTTTTCATTGACGAAGCTCCTGATCTTTCTTATCTCCCTGCTGGACATAAACTCACTATTGGTTTGGTTGGTTATCCTAACGTCGGTAAATCATCAACATTAAACGCTCTCCTTGGTGCACACAGAGTTAGTGTTTCTAGTACACCAGGTAAAACAAAGCATTTACAAACACACTTGCTTGGTAAATCCTTAGTCCTTTGTGATTGCCCAGGTTTGGTTTTCCCTCAATTTGCAAGTACGCGAGCAGAGTTGGTTTGTGATGGTGTCCTTCCTATTGACGATATGCGCGATTGGAGAGCACCTCTTGAGTTGGTTGCTAGAAGAATACCTAAGAGTGTACTTGAAGGCCTTTATGGTATAAAGATTGAAACCCGTCCAATTGAAGATGGAGGTGATGGTATACCTACAGCTGAGGAGTTAGCAACGGCATTTGCAGGTATGTAACAGTACCCTTTTAGCTAACAAGCATCTGACAAAACCACTAGTTGCTCGAGGATTTACACGTCAAGGTAGTTCAGGTGGTAATCCAGATGAACAAAGAGCTGCAAGAATAATACTGAAAGATTATATCAACGCCAAGCTCCTCTATTGTCATCCACCATCCGGATTAAATTCAGAAGAGTTTAACGCAGCGATGCGTAGACGTATGCAAGCCAGAGCGAGGGGATTGGGTAGACGTTTAATTGGTTCTGAGCAAGGAAAGGTACAATCAATGAAATCTTCTTCAAAGACGAGTAAACTTGATCAGAACTTCTTTGCACAATCTAGACCAGTTAAATTGACACCTAACGTTGTTGGAAAGGCAAATGAACAACATGGTGAATTTTCTCGTGTACAGATGTACCCGCATCAAGGTGTTGTTGCAGATGATGGTACTGTTCTTAAAGGTAGAAAAGCCAAACAAGCAATGGCAGAAGCTGGTATCGTAGTCGCATCATCAAAGAAGCATTTCAAGGGTGGTAAACGCACAAAGAAGAGATCAGGACAAGGATACGATTAATAGAGTGATGTAGAAGATAGTTTTTATTTATTTCCTTTTTTATATTTTCGTATTGATCCGTCTCAACAATGAGAAGGCAAGGAATACAAGGAAAACAGTAAGACCAACGGTGACTGGTTTTCTAATAGCATTGAGCAAACTGAGATTGTAAATAACGACGACATCCTGATTGTGTGCGTCTGATGCGTTTAATTTCTTGATAACAACAGTTGGTCTTCCAATCGTGTCGAGGTAGGTATAGGTAGTTTCATAATCAAGTTCAACTTCTTTGAAAGGAAGAATGACATCGATGATGTTCGCACCTTCCGGTAAAATAATGCGAGTTTCAGCTTTTTCTACAGCAACATCTCCTGGAATGTTACTGAAAGGAACGGTAACTTTGGTATCACCATTATTGCGTAAAGTGGCAACGTTACGGAGGAGAGTCTCGAAGCCAACACTGAATGAGTATTTCCATCCACCAAGTAGGGGGAAACGAGGCTTTACCTGTAAAACTGATGAGGAAGAAGTTGAAGGTCTAAAAACGCTCGTTGTAACGTTACCAATTTGATCAACGTAGAATGCTTCTTTGATTTTCGCAGGTAATCTCATCTCGAGTGAAGTTACGACATTAGTAGGAAGCATATCGAGGAAGGTTTGGGCTTGATGTGTCAATCTGGTGAAATGACCCTTAAGTGATGGACCGTTGTTGCGTAAGACTATGTCATCTCTATAGCTAGCTGCGTTTCCCCAATGACTCAATTCAAGGTGTCTATCGTAGCTCTCGTAAAGTAAACGTGGACCTGCCGCTTCGTATAAGATCTCGATAGGTGAAGTGGGTATAGAGTAACTCTCCACATTGTTCCATGGACCGTATGTAACAGTTGCACCATTCTTTACGGTCTTTTCAGCGTCAAACGTCATACCAAATTTCAAGATCTTCTGAGTTGGGGTACGAATCTTGATACGCATAGAGTTAGTGTAGTATGGTGAGATGACGTGTGTGTATGTTTTGTATAATATTGAATAAGCAAGGTCATCCTGTGATAATGACTTTGGAAGGTTCTCATTCAAGTTGTTGTAGATGGACTTGTGTACTAAATGTAAATCTTTGTGATTAGCTGGGAGATCAACGACTAACTTCTTGAAGTTCCTAATAAAACATCAGTAAATGGCTAATAAAAGACAGAAGACTAACTTCAACGTAGCGTCATCTTCCCAACGATAGGATAAGCTATCACCTGATTTCAATTTAACCTCTGTAAAGGATAAATGATGATATTCTTCTGGAGATAGTAATATCTTGTATGTGCTGTCATTTATATCACTAATGTGGTATTGAGTGGTAGAAGATATTGTAGATTGATGGAGATCAACGCTTCTCGTTATTTTATCATTTATTGTAGCTAAAACTACTGTAGATATCGTTAAAAAGAGGAATATTTTCTGAATAAACCTCATAGTTGTTGCTCAAAATAGTTCTTTATCTCTATCGACGATGTGTAAGTGATTTAAAATAAAAAATATAGGAGATGTACTAATTACTGATACAGCTGGATTCAATTTTGGTAAGATCTCTTGGTATTTAACTTCATAGACGCGTTTATAGTTTTATTTAGGACAAGGTACATCTTCTGGTGGATTCGGAGGAAACTGTGAGTGTAATACAACAATAGTAAGCATATTCAAACCAATCCGTTAGCCACACCATCTCAGTCTTCTGGTTTTAACTTTGGTGGTGCCCAAACACCTGCCAAACCTAACACACCAGCATTCGGTAATCAAGGTTCAACCACACCTGCAGCACCACCACCAAATACCGGTGGCTTCTCATTTGGTACTGGAAGCTCTGGATTTGGTGCTTTTGGGAAGCCAGCTACACCTGGTGCACAAACAGCACAACCAGCACAACCAGCTCCTTCAGGTGGATTATTCGGTGGAAGCAGTTCAACTACACCTGCAGCAGCTCCTAAACCAACAGGCGGATTCAATTTTGGAGGTGGTTCTTCATTTGGTGCTCAACAAGGCGGTGGTACCGGTTTATTTGGTGCATCCAAACCAGGTTCGTAATTGACGCATAGGTAGTATCTCTCTAATTATGGTTCAGCTGAGAATTCAACAACTCCATCTGCACCTGCACCTGCATCTGGTGGCTTTTCATTCGGTGCTAAACCTGCAGAAGCACCTAAACCAGCTGGTGGTTTAGGTTTTGGTGGATTAGGCTTGGGTGCTAAACCAGGTCAGTTGATATCGTCATACGGTTGTAAATGATAGCTTAACAAACCCAACAGAGGAGAAGAAAGAAGAAGCTCCTAAACCAGCCGGCGGTTTCACATTCGGTGCATCAAAACCAGGTAGGTATTTGCGATACGGAACTTCTTACACGGCTAAAACTCAAAAAGAAGAGAAGAAAGATGAAGCACCTAAAACAAGCTTGTTTGGTGGCGCTGGAGGGTTTGGTTCTGCACCTGCAGCTCCAAAACCAGCTGAGAGTGCTCCAAAGCCAGCATTCGGTCTTGGTGGCGGTTTCGGCGCTCCAAAGCCAGGTGAGTTGTTTTCGTATCCTGATACTATTTTTTTAATATTTCAATTCAGAAGAAAAGAAGGAAGAGCCAGCTAAACCTGCTGGTGGATTCGCATTCGGTGGAAATACCCTAGGAAGCAAACCAGGTGAGGTGATTTACTGTCTTTGAAACTTTCTAATAACAATAACAGAAGAAAAGAAGGATGAAGCACCAAAGCCAGCCGCAGGTGGCTTCACATTTGGAAATTTAGGCGGTGCTGAGAAGAAAGATGAGGCTCCTAAGCCAACTGCAGGTACATCTACTGGTGGATTCGGTACTTTGGGTGGATTTGGCGCTCCAAAAGAGCAACCAAAGGAGACACCTAAACCATCAGGCGGTTTTGCATTTGGTGGTTCTACTGCTGCTAAACCAGGTGGGTGGAATATGTAATTTCGACATTTCATTAATATTCCTCACCAGAAGAGAAGAAGGACGAAGCACCAAAGCCAGCAGGCGGTTTCTCATTTGGCGGTTCAGCTTCAAAACCAGGTAGGGATTGTTTAAATCAGCTATTATTCAATTAACCTTTTCTTAAGATGACAAAAAGGACGAGGCAGCTAAACCAGCTGCAGGTGGTTTCTCATTGGGTGGACTTGGCGCTTCAAAACCAGGTAAGACGAGCTTTGTTTTTCTGTTTGTTTCTAATACACTGCCAGAAGAGAAGAAGGATGAAGCACCAAAGCCAGCAGGCGGTTTTTCATTTGGTGGTGCAGCTTCAAAACCAGGTTAGAATGATAAAATATATTAAACTGTTTTACTTACATCGTCTTTAGAAGAGAAGAAAGATACTACAACCAGCACATCATTCCAACTAGGTGGCGGACAAGATAAGAAAGATCCATTATCAGTTAGCGCTTTGGGCAAATCTTCGGCTAATGCAGAAGTAAAACCTGCACCAACACCTTCTTTATTGCGTAATAAAACACTCGATGAGATTACACAGAGGTGGACCACTGAGTTAGAAAATCAACAAAAAGATTTCTTCAGATTAGGTAATGAAGTTAAAGAATGGGATGGTGTTTTAAGAGATAATGCAGAACAAATATCGAGATTATACAATCAAACAGTTAGTGCAGAACAAACACAACTAGCGGTTGATCAATCATTGGATTATATTGAATCACAACAGAAAGAATTAGATGAAGTATTGACTAGATATGAAAAAGAAACTGAAGAATTATTCGACGGTGATAGTAATCAATTACAATTAGGTGTTGCTGATAATGAGAGAGAGAAATCTTACAGATTGGCTGAAAATGTTAATGAACAATTAGATGATTTATCAAGAAATCTGAGTACTATGATTGATGAAGTTAATCTCTTGTCTGGTGGTACGAACAAATCTAAAGATAATGAAGAAGATGCTCAACAAGATGTTATTGCGCAAATTGCAGCTATACTTAACGCCCACTTGAGTAGTTTACAGTGGATAGATGGTACATCATCAGATCTAATGGAAAGAGTAAAAGAACTTGATGGTGTAGTTGGAAATATACAACAAAGTAAGACTTACACACCAAATACATCAACAGCAACGCCTTTACAACAGTCAAGAAGAGGTAGAGGTGGATTTGGTTTGAGTACTTTATCAAATGTTTAAATTGGTATATTAAAATGTACAGTCATCTGGATTCATATCCGCGAATGCAGAATAATTTATGTTTTTCCACGGTTCAGATGTAGGGCTTGATGATGCTAGTTGTATATTGCTAAAATTGTTATTCGTTGGCGAACTTATAGGATTTTGTTGATAGCCTGGTGAGCTAGATAATAAAGTAGATTTCTTTAAACCTTTTATTGGTCTCTGATGATGTTGTATACCAGACATAGAAAAATCCTCACTGTTTTCATTCTCTAAATCACTGTCACTATCTGTCGCTGGTATATCTTCATCTACTATGGTATTTGATATATTAAATCTTGTAGATTGACTTCGCTGTGGTCTCTTAAACGCAGTAGATTTATATGGTCTTTTCGGTGGTTCTGACATTGGAAACTTATTTGCTTTATTCTTTGGGGGCAAAGGTAATGGACTACCAAAAACGTCGTTTGAGCTACTTGCTAAACCTAGTTCGCACTGTTGTCTGGCTAAACTGAGGGTTTCTGAAGCTGATCTGAAAATAGATGGTGTAATAGGTGGTTCAATTGATGTATAGAGTTCACGTTGTAGCTCTACGTTCTGATTTGGAGATGATGTTGGTGTTATGTAGCCATTATCGACACTTTTACGTATTCTCATGCCAACGTTAGCCAACTGATTTGTTAGCAAGTTATCTGGTGAAGATGTTTCTTGATTTGTTTTTTGTTTTTTATCAGACATCATGAAAGTGGATATCAACAAGTAATCGTACAGTTATTTGTTTATTTCTTACTTTTATACAAAAATGCTTGAATAATAATAACTAAGAGTCTGTTTAAATATTTTTTATAATTAAATCTAAATAAAACTTACTAATATCGAAAGTAACTTGTATGATTGAACATAGAGCGAATGGTAATGGAGATGATTGTAAAATAAAGTATACTACTTTAAAAGAGTCACCTGCTATCCATCCCAATAAGATTGTGTACTTAAATCCTTCTAGTGACTTTTGTTGATAATTCTTTATTATCTGAGGTATTGGCAGTGTAGCTTCTAATCCGAGTGCTAAATATCCCAAAATATTAACGAAGATATGATATCTATGTAATATAAAGTATAAACCAATTAATAGACAGTTATAACTTATTAAACTAAGTACATATACGTAATACTTATTCCACTGCCAGAAATCTAAATATCTCGATTGATAAGCTGGCGGTGAATATCTTATACAGACGTATAATAACAACAAATGTGTTAATATTAATAAAATAGATTGAATCAATAGATTTATCTGATAATGCTCACCAAACCAGAAGATTATTCTCGTTGAGTTTGCAAAAAGCAATATACCACTTGTATCAATTGAATATCCTATATTTTCTTTACTTTTTATTATATAATAAATTTGTTCAAAATATAAAATTGAGGGCAATATCGCTACTAGTACATCCACCACTATCATCGTCGTTTTACTTGGAAAATGTCAAATAATAAAAAGTGAGAATTATAAATATAAAACGCGTAAAATTTACATTTTTTAGTGAAAAAACTGATGATTATATAAATAATGAACTAATTATACGCGGTTTTATCAAAGATAAAATCGATTTAAATCCGATGAAATCAAAAGATAGAGAGAAATTGAGTAAATTATTATTGAATTACTTAGATTTAGTTGAACAAAACGTTGAATTACGCGATGATCATTTGCAATTCTCTAATCAAAAGTCATACGAATTCGAAAGATTAGAGAGAATATTGGCGGAATCGGAGCAAACTAATAACAATAGCGCGAAAGAGATTGAACAATATAAGCATAAGATACATTCTTTAGAGCAGTCACTTAAAGAAGAGAGGGATGCTCACAAGACAACTCGTCATCAACTATCCCTATCAAAGAGTCTCACTCAATCAATTTCAAAACAAAATAATCAGGATCTGAAGCGTAGACAAGCTGAACAAGATAAAAGATCTGGTGTGTCGCTCTCAGGTCCTACCACTTCTGCTCAATCAGACGATTTCCTCGATCGAGCTTTACTGCAATCTAAACACTCAGAAGTTAAATTAACTCAAGAGAACGCTCAATGGAGAGATTTAATAAATGATTTGGGTGGTCATTTATCGGAATTAGCGACAGACGCAACTCGTAGGGTTGAATTACTAACAGAGCAAACAATTTCAATAGACAATCCACCTAATAAACCACCTAGAGCTACTCTATCAGCTATAAACCAAACAAAAGATAGATTAAATCTCTACATAAATGTACTCAAAACATCGATCAAACGACTATCTGGTCAGAAAACATTCAATTTTGTCGATGATTATGACTTTGATAAGCTGGATGTTATAAAACAAGATTACATCACAATAAAGGCGAACATAGACGAACTATTTAAAGGCACCGTTGGTACTATCAAGAGAAATCAAGATGACACTTCGGAGGGATTCAAACCGAGACGTAGTAACAGATTGAATTTGAGTGACTTGACAACAAATTACGAAGACAATCAAAACAATGAAGATGAAGATAAAGTGGTCGACCTGCAAGATACTCGCCCTACAAAAATATCTAAAATAGACCACCATCGTCGCTCTTCGACTAGACGTCCGAGTGCGGCAGCCGGAAATTCTAAACTAGCAGAAGCAAGAATACGAGGATAGATGTAACAATATATATATATAAAATGTTAAATTTGTTGTAATAATTTAATCTGATATAACTAATGATAAAAGAATTGGCGTTATTATTCCGGTCAAGAACAATGCAATGAATTGTTTTTTGTTTGTTGATTCCTCTAATTGCTCGCTTGTAGCTTGTGCGGCGACGAATAAGAATGTACCACCTGAAAATAATAAAGCATATCCCGGTATACTACTATCACTGTTATTAAAGTTCATCAATCTAAGCAAGAAGAAAGTCAAGAAAGCTGAAATTGGCGCAGATAGACTGAATATTAATATGCAAAGTCTATAAAGTGATGTTTTCAATTGTGGTCTTAAAGACAATAACGATGTACTTAATCCTAAACTTGCAGGTGCTTTGTGTATAGCAACAGCTAAAAACACGACGATTGAGAGACTATTGCTGCTGTTTGATAAACTAGCTGCACCTAAAGCTATACCGTCACAGAAGCTATGTATTGTCAAACCTGCTGTCTTAGAAAGTGCCTTCGCAGGTGAATGTGTGTTGTCTTCTATAGGTCTCAATGGAGTATACGACCGCATCCGATGTGGTATTTGAGGTTGTTGTGTGTGGGTAGCTGGCGATGTATGTACTTTCCCTTCTTCTACGTGTGAATTATGTGGTGCAATTAAAGTATCGATCAACAACATCAAGACGAAACCAGCTGACATTAATAAACCAACGATAGAAGAATTGCCTTGATTTGTTTCATAAATACTCTCTATACCTTCTGGGATAACGATTCCAAGTGCACTACCGACCAATAAACCAGCACCTAATGTAGCCAATTTCATTGTATTCTCTTGTTTAACTTTAAATATCTGTGGTGATAATGCTGATATTAGACTACCTATAGTAATACATATACAAATCAACAACAAATTCAAACTACGGGATGTCATTCTTGATGACGGTTGCGGTCATCTCATAAATTATCGATTGAGAAAATGTCAAAGACAGTCACACCAGCGGAATTAATTAATGAATACAACGCTTGGACAGTACAAGCTCCTATGGTTAGATACTCAAAGCAACCATTCAGAGAACTCTGTGCGAGTTACAATACCCATATTACATATACACCAATGATGCTATCTAAAGAGTTCGCTAGAAGTGAATTTGCTAGAGCTGCAGATTTTTCAACTTCCAATTCAGAGCGTGCTATATTCAACTTATCCCGAAGGAAACCTAATGGTGAATATGAGAAGACTACAGAACCAATTAAGGGTTGCTTAATAGCTCAATTTGCAGCTAATGAAGCAGTTACTTTCTCACAATCAGCTGAACTCATTGCAGCTCACGTTGATGCTATAGATTTGAACACAGGCTGCCCAACTCAATGGGCATACGAGGAAGGCATAGGTAGTGCTCTATTACGTAAACCAGAAGTAGTGGCTGATATTGTTAAAACCACTTATGATAGAGTGGGTAGCAAACTTCCCATTACGGTCAAAATTCGTATAGATAAAGAAGAACGGCGAACGGAGCAGTTGATTAAGAATGCAGTTATGGCAGGTGCTTCAATTATTGGTATACATGGAAGATATCGTACCCAGTCATCGACAACACCAGTAAACTTAGATGGTATCGCATTAGCACGATCTTTTTCATCAGTACCAACCATTTCTAACGGTGATGCGTGGTCCCTTGAGCAAAGTCTAGATATTAAAGATAAAACTGGTTGTAACGGCGTAATGAGTGCACGTGGTTTACTTGCAAACCCAGCGATGTTTGCAGGATACGAAGAAACACCAATAGAATGCATCGATAGATTTATAGATTTGAGTATGTCGTATGGTTTGCAATTTCCGCTTTTCCATAGACATATCTATTACATGCTAGAAAGCAAATTATCGAAAACTCAAAGACAAAGTTGGCATAATGTAATATCAACCGCCACAGCCTTAGACTGGATAGAAGAATATAAAGAAAGTGTATTATATTAATAATATATTATATGTACTACTAAAAGAATGTGATATGTTTAGGTGTATCTGTTTATATGTTCAACTAATACTTATTCCATGCATTTCCTGAGAATGATCTAGTTTTCAGAGTCAAGACCTTGTGTTCTACCGTAAAGTCTGTAAACATCTCTGTCAGAACGTTCGTGAACGATAGTAATACGCTGCAATTCGTTCATGAAGTCTTCGACGCGTCTGTCGATCTTGCCGCGTTGCTTACGTCCAACGTTATTGAGCCACTTCATGTTGTTCATTATGATATATGCGAGTGTACATACAACCATGACAGCGATAGAGAATGCCCAAACCTTAACAACAGTAACGATATCAGTGTGACCGTTGTGTGCATCTCTGTCAGCGTGGAACCAACCGAAGAGGGTGAAGAGAGTTGCGATAATGTCAACACCAGCGATAGCACCAGTGAGTTGCCATGATGGCCACTTAAATTCACCCTCACCAGTTCTTGTCAAGAAGATCAACCAGTTTTCAGTCAAACAAACTTCTAAGAAAAGAATGTGTTCAACACCACCCCAGTTTTGAATGACACCACCATTGTTAAGGAAGAGGGTACCTCTGAGAATCCAAGTACCACCTGCGAGAATGAAACCGAGAACAGTTGACATGATCCAAATCTTTGGAAGTTGCCATTCAACAGGTGTAAGGGCGTATGGGGCGTTATCATAAGCTACGGCAACGGTAGCCAAATCAGCGAATAACGCAATCCAGACAATCAAATCCGCACGAATTGTTTCGTTCATAATGAGAATTGAGAGGGTGAGGTAAATCTCCAAGTGAAGACAAAGTGCGATACGGTAAACAATGTAGGCCTTCATACGGTGGAAAATTTCTCTGGCAACCTTGATAGCAGTAATGATAGTTGAGAGACCTTCATCAAGGAAAACGACAGCGGCAGCTGAACGAGCAGCATCTGAAGCACCTTCGACAGCAATACCACAATCAGCCTTCTTAAGAGCTGGAGCATCGTTAACACCATCACCAGTCATGGCAGTTAAGTGACCACGGTGTTGAAGCATTTCTACAATTTGATACTTGTGTTCTGGGAAAACTTCACCGAAACCATCAGCGTTTTCAATAAAGTCGTGCATTTCTGAACCAGCCATTGAACCACCACCGATAAGTCTGTGTGAATCGTAGACCTGAAACCCTGTGTAAGTGAAACACATATGAAAATGTAATTTAACTCACATTTGTACCCATACCAAGCATCTTACATGTTTCCTTTGCGATAGCAACAGCATCACCAGTTAACATCTTTACACCAACACCAAGCTTGATAGCTTCACCAACGGTAGCAGCAGTGTCATGACGTGGTGGATCGAACATAGGAAGTAGACCAAGAACTTGCCAGTCACCGTTACCTTCTTGAACAGAAACACCAAGTGATCTGAAACCTCTTGAAGCGAATTCCATAGTTTGGTCACGGAAAGCTTGAGCGACTTGTGGTGGAGTTGCACACATCTTAAGGATAGAGTTTGGAGCACCTTTGGCACAGGTGTAAGTAACACCGTCACGTTCAACAATTGAAGTGATACGCTTTGAGACAGGGTCGAATGGTCTGAAATCCTTAGTAACCCAACCAGTTTTGAGCATGTCAGTAGCACGTGGGTATTCCTTGAGAGTAGAGATGGTGATCTTATCAATTGGGTCCAAAGATTTGACATTGTGTGATGAGGCGAGAGCAGCGACACACATCATCCAATCCATGTCGACACCTTCAGCAGTGTATGGTTCGTGAATAGACAACTTGTTTGCTGTAAGTGTACCAGTCTTGTCAGAACAAAGGATGTCACAACCGGCGAGGGATTCAATTGAAGTGAGCTTTTGAACAATTGCTTGCTTCTTTGCGAGATAAGCAGCACCGACAGCAAGAGTAGTAGTGGTAACAACTGGTAAACCAACTGGAACACCGATAACAGCGAAAATAAGTGTGTAAACCAACAAGTTGTTATCTCTTGGTTGAGCAATGTCAATGTTACGGAAGAAACCTCCAATCCAGACAGCGAAAAGGAAGACAATGACAAGAACGAGGAGAGTACCACCAATAATGTTCATGACCTTGACAAAGTGACCCTTTTCATTTGATCCAAGAACAAGAGCAGCGGTCTTACCGACGAAAGAGATTGGTGCAGTTGACTTCACACGTGCAAAGACCTTACCACGCTTACAAATGGTAGTGTAGAATGCCATGTCACCGTGGTACTTGTCGACAGCGAGGGATTCACCAGTGATAGCGGATTGATCTGCAGCGAGAATGGATGGACCTTTTCCATAAGAGTCTTCTTCGTCATCTGACTTCTCCTTCTTTGATTCGGCCTTGACTTTTTGAAGAATTTCAGTAGCCCTTGAACCGTCTTTGTCTTTGTAGTCGGCGAGAAGTTCACAATCAGCTGGAATAGTTGCACCTTCTTCAATAACAACAATGTCACCTGGGACGAGTTCTCTTGCCTCTACTTCCCTTTCTTCACCGTCACGGATTACAGTTGTACGAAGAGCAATACCTTTCTTAAGTTGAGCGACAATATCACCTGCTTGCTTTTCTTGATAGAAACCGACGAATGCGTTTAATAAGAGAATACCAATAATGACACCGAAATCGACCCATTCACGGAGACCACCAGCAAGACCGACAGCACCTTCCATAACGTAAAGGACAGGACCTCTAAAGAAACCAATAAATTTAAGAACTAAGTTCTCTTCTGGAGATTCTAATTCATTGAAACCAAATTGACGACGGCGTGGTTCAACATCTGAAGAACTGATACCGTGCCTAATGTCCGCGGTGTACCAATCTTCAGGTACTGATTTACCTTGTTGTCTGATTTCAATCTTTTTCCATGGCGCGTACCACGGCTATACAGAATTGTTAGAATATGTGCGCGCAAAGGAAGACGCGTGTACTCACTCTCCTGTAATGTATTTCTTCTGCTTCTTCAACGTTATCGTCACCTTTACGCAACTCGACATTTTGAATGTATTCGACTAACGCGTTGTATTCGTGTTGTGGACTTTCTTCTTGATCTTCATACCTTGGTTGCTTCTCCCCATCTAGGAATGACATAGCGAGAGAATATTAGTTGGTGATTGTTTTGTTCTAAGAGTTAAAAACCCATCTCAAATCCTTTGCCAAGGGATTTAGTCTCTTTTTTATTGGAATGTCTTTCCCTTTTAGGTAAGTTTATTTCATCATTTTCAGATTTTAGTTTTACTATCTTTGGTATTCACTTTGGAGCTCCAATTATTGGCTGATTAGAGCTAATTTACGTGCGTATATTATGAAAATTTTTCTTCTAATCATGTGCATCATTTCTGTCATATAATCTTGGCATGCACCTATGCGCGGGGTTACCTACAGCGGAGATTTTCCAAGAAAGAAAAAAAACTGATAAGAGAATTAATTTAGTATTTGTCAGTTGTCAGTTTTGATGACTTTAGTTACATAGTTTAACGTGTATGAATCTAATGAATGATAGTCTCTACAAAAACATAAAATAAGTATATTAGCAGATTTACTGCCTCTTGATTGCGTAGGTGTAATGTAGTTCTTCAACAATTCTGTACTTTGTCAGAGTCGTCTCTTTGGCAGCTCTCGCTATTATATTATTGATATCAGGCTCATAGTAACCTCTTTTAAGAAAAATGGGTATAAACGATCTAAAGAGATTTAATAGATCATCTGCAAATAAATGTGCGACGTGTCGATTTGGCAGCTAAGCTATGTCAAATTCTCGTCTCACTGGAAGGCATTCCAATTCTACTCACGTCAACTCCCGAATACGCCGGCCATGCACCTATACGTGCGTGGAAAACTTTACTCTTAACTTCATCGAATTCACCACTTGCTCTAACGTAACTTTCGAGTTTGTTACCATCAAGACCAGGATCGAGACCTTTTTCAACGAATAGCTGCTCAATCCATGTAGCAAGTGTACGACAACATGGTCCAGCTGTTTTTGAACGACTAACTGTAGTCCATTTTGGTTCCATGAGGAGTAATAATCCACCAGGTCTAAGTAAAGGTAAACTGTCTCTCAATAATGCTGGATAATCTTGTATAGCTGCGTATAAACATCTTATCTGTATGGCATCAAAACTTTCCGGCTGGTATGCTAATGTGAGATCCTTTGTTATGTCAACACATCTATAGAAACTGAATTGTGTGAGTTACTGAAGAGTACTGTAACAATTGCTTACCAGTTACGTGGCACTTGTCGTCTGAAAGCTAAGTCAGATGATTTCCCCAGGAAATAGAATAGATACCACCTACCCTCTTATTGGTGTGATACATTGTATATCATTACCATGCGTACTAACAATATTAATTGAAGTCTCAATCATTAAAGAACCACTCACTCTGCACCAGGAAACTGTTGAGCTAGTTCCATTGCCCTTTACCGTCTTGTCAGCGCTTTAGTTGTTGTAAAAGCAAAACAGACCATATACCAGTGCCTGCTCCCCAGTCACCTATGACACCCTTTTTGCCAGCTCGCGTAGTTCGAGATACGACTTCACTAAGTGGACCCCACCAGCTACGATATCTTAGTGATATGATGAGGTGACCAGTATGTAGACTCACAGACCACCAATGATGAACTACTGAGTGTTAATAACCATAATATAACACTAAAACCACTCACTTTAAACAGTTCATGCTCTCTATTCAAACGAAGATTCTCAGATTCACCTTGTGGTATCTAATAAGCTGTGAGTAAGGTACTGCCGGGCGTCCGCACACCCACAACGTAGACTTTATCATCATAAGCAACTTGTGCTAGATCGATAGGATGTCTACCATTTAACTTCTCTATTTCTATGACGAATTTAGCAAGAATCCATAATTCTTACTGGGAACACACCATTATCATTATTGAGGGTCGTCTGTCTATATCCAGTATCTATTGGTCTAAGCTGGTACTCTGGGTTGTATGGAAATGACTGTTGAGCAGCTGTCGACGTTGGTTCGGTCGCAGCTTTATATTGATTATAGTAGTATAAACTCGGGCTCTGCTGCATTTGTTGAGTTGATGTGGACTGTATTTGTGCTAATAAAGCACTAGCGTTCGTGAGATATTCCTTTTTGGTTTGTTCCGTCTGCTCTTCCATGAGCTCAGCACAGGTAGCTAGCTATGATGTTGATAGTAACAGTCGAAGGTGTATTTTTTATATAATTTACTTTTAAGATTTATTATTCAAGGGAAATACACTTTATTCCTTAATTCACGCCTATCGCACAGTGCACGCATCATACCCCTGACTACCTAATGGACAAAGGAATCCTGTATATAATAAATCTAAATGTATGCAACAGAGTGGGGTTTTATTAACTAGTTGATTTGCTTTCTTCTGCTATTCCTTTGTGCCTTCTGTCTGCTCTCCTCAATTTCCTTCCTGACAAGGAGACCTTCTCTTCCTGCCTCAGCGAGAAGGTTTATAATGAGTTCACCAGCTCTCTCACTGTCGTCATTAGCAGGTATAGCGTATGTTACACCCCTTGGGTCACCATCTGTGTCTATCAAACCAATAGTTGGCACTCTAGTCAAAGCGCACTCTCTGAGAGCATGTGGGTAGACCATCGGACTGCTGAAGATGACTAAATCTGGTAATGGAGGTGGTTGCTCTAGTTTTCCACCTGGTAAAAGTCTATATCTATTTGTAAGAGTACCTGGAAGCCAGTTGTTTGGCACACAAAAACCATTGCCTTCTAATCTCTCAGCTGCTCTCTCAGTTGCTCTCTTAACGATAGTTGTTTTTGTCTTTCCACCGACGAAAAGGACGATACCGTCGCGTTCAACGACACCTTTAACGACAGCAGCTGCTCTTCTTATAGCAATAGCGGTTTGCTCTAAATCGATAATTGATTGGCCATGTCTAGTACCATAAATGTAAGGTTTCATTGAAGGGTTCCATCCACTGTGATCATGTCCAAGGTGAGCACCTGCAGCTGCTAATGCATTAACAACATTATCGATTGGTTGTTGCGAAGTTGGTAGTCTAGTTTTCCATGGTTTGTATGCGTTTCCAGAGTTTTGAGTTGAACCGAGGTGTTCAAGCGATTGAACTGAGTATTTCATGAGAAATGAAGGATAACGGAGAATGATCTACTCACTTAAATCCTTTTGAATTAATCTTTGCTTTAAACTAAGTTCGTTACTGTCGTGCTCTAGTTTACCGTCTCTTGTGTAAACTACAGATCTTCTGGCAGATGAACTTAAATTACGAGCTATTGTGTTATATTAGTAAATTTAAGTTTTTAGTTTATTTACTAGCATTACCTGTTAATTTTAATCCTTTTGATATAACTTTCATTGATGGCTAAGATCAAGAGAGAAGACAATAACTTATGATAATTATTTTAATGTAATAGACTTAACGATAAAATATTGTATTATGTATACCGATTAGATGCTGAACTCAGTTTGTTAGAGTCTATCATGTAATTCACTCAATTACATATCTTAGTACACTTACAAGACTACCTTTTATTATAGTATGAATATCATATTTATTGCATAAATTCCTCTGGAGTAATTCACAGACTATTGGAATAGTTTCGGTGAGCGTTAAGGATATTGAGTAAGTTACTTACTATATACATCAACAAGCTTATATTATGAACAACATAGCCTAGACCTCGATTGTCGTATAGATGGTTAGGCCTGCTTTACAAACTCAAGTATGAAAATTTTACCAAAAATATAAACTCCTCAAGTAGGTATACAAGCAGTAGACGCCATGACCTACCAACCAGTATATTTCTGTTTGAATTTCTCATCGTTAAAGAACGCGACTCAGATGAATCAGTAAAAGCTTTTGTCGCCACTTCTACTTACGAACGTAAATCAAACGCATAAGAATACAGCGTCTAGAATGATAATATTATTTATTTAACAATGAAAGGGGTATGTACAATATTGGTAAACCACATGATAATGGGTTTCTTCAGAAGGTCTTTCGCTATGGACATCATTCAGTATTTCAATCTCAGAGACTACAAAAAAAACTTAAGATTACTATAATAGTATTCAAGTACTCTTACTCAAGAACGCAAAAAAGCTGTCGAGGAATACAAAAATATTAGCTCTCGGGCGGATTCGAACCACCGATCATCTGTGAACATATACTACTTAAATTGTAGTATTGTAAGACAGATACTATAACCACTAAGCCACGAGAGCCGTACTTTTGCTGGAAAATGAGAAAGTGTAGATAGGCCGCCTCGGCAACGTCATAAAAATCCACCAACGCCGGCGAATCAGGAGTGGCTAAGGCCAAATGTTGGAAAAACTTCTTAGAAAATATCAAACCAAATGAAGTCCATAAAGCAGCCAGATACGTGAAAAATGGTGGCATCCCGTCACCATTTGTGCCCCCTTTGCTTAAAACAGATAAAACCCTTACTGCTAGCCCAGAAGAGCAGGCTCAGACACTCTTCAAACACCTGTTACAAGGTGAAGACATCAATCCCACTTCGGCCCTGGGAACGCGACTCGACGATACACTTGACGGGTCTTTCCAGGAAATTACAAATTGGGAAATGACGGTGGCTATAAATAAAATGAAAGTTGGGAAAACGGCAGGACCAGATAACATTCCGGTCTCCGCCATAAAAGAATTCACGCCGATAATAGAACCCATATTGACAAAGATAGCGAATAGCTCCTTGCGCCTTGGACATTACCCAAAATGTTTCAAGGTAAGCGGCATGCATTGTGATTCC